CCACAGGCACTGACAGCTCGGAGGTATCAGTGGTGGTGTTTCTGAGGGTCAAAAGTTACCGTCGACAATTTGGAAAAATTTTGTACCCTCATTTTTGGTTTGAGCTGACCCTCAGCTTCTCACAGGTTGAGGTTGAACCTTTCCACGCTGGCTGAAGCTGAGTCAGTTCGAAATGTCTCCGGTTTGGGGTCTTCCCTGGGTGGTGTGGGAGGGAAAAAACCGTGAAGAGCAAGCCCTTGCTTGTCTCTTGAGCCAAGCTGACAGATACGAGTTTCTGTCAGCTTGCTCAACATGCAATTGATTATGTTGCACCCGCTGCAATGGTTGATCGATTTCAAGCTATGCACGCAAACACAATTGTGTTCTGGAGCGGCGCATTTCTGCTCTCCGCCCGGAGTCGGAGCTTGCTCGGCGTGGATTTTGACCGGTCAAACCTGTTTCACCACCAGTCCCTTTGTGACTGGAGGTTCCATGATTGACCTTGCACAAAATCCAGCTGCCGCTGCTAAGCTCCGACAATGGGAAGGCGAGCTGTGAAGCAGGGAGCCGCTCGGCCGGTTCGACTGCACGAAGCCGCAGAACTAGCCGAGATTGCTGCGCAATATTGTTCTCGTTCGAAGGCTAGTCGAACGATTCGCGAACTCGTTCCTCGTGTTGTGTGTTTCTGCAGCTACTGGGTGGGAGACGTTTGTGAAACCGCGACCAGTAGCGCAGATGCCCGACCATGCTCAAACCACAGGCACTGACAGCTCGGAGGTATCAGTGGTGGTGTTTCTGAGGGTCAAAAGTTACCGTCGACAATTTGGAAAATTTTGTACCCTCATTTTTGGTTTGAGCTGACCCTCAGCTTCTCACAGGTTGAGGTTGAACCTTTCCACGCTGGCTGAAGCTGAGTCAGGTCGAAATGTCTCCGGTTTGGGGTCTTCCCTATGCTATGAATCCCAAACGGGTGACATTTCGAGTCGGGTTGAGGTGTCACCAGTTGAGGTGTCCCTATGCTGCGGGCCTCAAGTAGGTGATATCTCTACACGAGGCGTAAGTTACGAGTTTGCCCATGTGTGAGTACTGCTGATTCGGATGTATCTCCATCAAATGGAGCCCAGCTTTCCCTGCTCAAGCGCTCGTCCCAGAGCGATCTCTTGAAGTGATTTTCCTTCCCAAGGGTTGCGAACTTGAAAACAAAACTTTGTTCCCGAAACCGAGCATCTCTCTCAAACATGCTAATGATGAGATGTTGTTACTCTTCATCTGAGGACTCGTTCAAAACTATCATTGCTGCCGCTCGGGCCTCCACCTCCGGTAGGTCCAGATATGCTCTAAAAGCTGCGGATCTCCAACCTCCCATCTGGAGAATTGTGGCTGGTGAAGCCGCGTGCTCTGCGAGATCCGTGGCGTGACCTCTCCTGAAGGAATGGAGACCATAGACATCAGGGTTCTCTATGCCAACCACCGCCAGAGTGTCTCGAAGATGTTGCCTCATAGAGTTAGCCGTGATGCCGTCGAACAAAAGATCGCTCGCAGCGACGTTGCCTGTACGTGAGGAGAGCAGTAAGTGCTCCGCATGCGTGTGGGGACATACAGAGGGCTGAGTTTCCCGGCAGGCACAATAACGAACCAGCGTGACTGGTGTCTTGGTGTTCTTACGTTTGTGTAGGCGAATATAGACCTCATTCCTTTTACCGATTGACAGCTGGCCTCTCCTGAGGACCAGAAGTTCAGATGGTATCCGCAGCAGGAACCAGTAAGCTAGAACAAACCCGGCGCAGTATCTCGAATCCCTCGTGTTATGGTTCGACAGATGTCGTAAAGAGGAAGCGTTGGCCGATGCGAGCTTGCGTAGGAGTTGCAGCCTTATTCCGAGCACCCTCCTCTGTCCTGAAGGTTGTAGGTTACTTTGTCCTCGGAGCACCAGTGATATAAGAGGGTGGTCTATATCGCCTGGATCTAGCTGGAGTACTTGTATCCACTTCCTGATGTGGGATATATAGTTCCTAGCGGTTGCGGAGTTCCTGAAAGTCGAGATCCACATGCAAAGTATGTCGACTGACGGAGGAAAATAGCAACTGTCCATGCCCGTTATTTGGGAGACGCTGTCGACGAATGCCAAGTAGTTCTTCAATCCGCACAGATATTGCTTCAGTGAGGATGACGTTATAGAGGAGAGCATTGCATAACGTGCGTTCAGCTGCAATATACCGTATACAGGTACACCTCTGACGGCTAACCTCGTCAGCGCGCTCGAAATTGCACGTGGTCGGCCGCTCGTGCCGATCGTGAGGGCGAGGGGAGACGCAGGTAACGTTCGAAGGAGTATTGCTTCCGTGGCCAGAGAGATTACTTCTTGTCGGTCGTTGATACCAGTGGAAAGCTGGACTGGAGCGGACATCAACAGGGACGTGTAAGCTCTCCCAAAGTGACACTCTAGCTCAACATTGCCCCAACCGGCTGGAAACTGGGACATGAAACAATCTTCAGAAACATGGGACGATGCGGTTCATCAACTTTAATTTGCTGGGACCCGACAGCTGAGTCGGACCTCTATTCTTCATCACGACATGTAATGGGCTCAGGCCAACGTGCTGGGTGCCTCGAAAAGTCGAGTAGATCGGCGTAATGTCTTCTGGAGGGTCCGTCGGCGAAGTTCTGTGCACTCGACACTCTGCAGACCCAGAGGTTGATCATGTAGTGAGATACAACCTTCCAGAACTTGCAAACCATTTCGTTGAGGTCGGCTGCTTTCGAACTCCCTCTCACCAGTGCAAACTCAGCTGCTTCGCTGTCCACATAAAGAAAAGCTGATTTGCCTCGGATCCAAGGGGCAAAAGTAAGAATAGTGACCAGGGCTGCCAACATCTCAAGAGGGATGATTTGGGTTTCGCGATGGTTCCAGCTTCGTAGAATGGACTCGGGCGTGAACTCACTAAAGAACCTGCCCTTCTCGTTACTTCTGCTTCCGGGCAGGAGAACGCCAGCAATTCTTTGCGAATGGTCCTCAGCGTCAGAGTAGAGCACCATCGGGGACGACGAACTGTCGTGTAGCTCGATCACTCTCTTTGAAGGAGCTCCACGGATCACGTCTTGCAGGTTACCGATCGCGTCCCTTTCCCTTTGCGAGACAAGTGATTTTCCGTTGGCTATCCATGAGTAGAGTACTCTCGTATAAGCTCTCCACGACCGATCTGGGGACGTCGCGGAGGCGAACGTCAATCGACCACAGAGCTTCCTCATGCTGCCTGGGCTGACGAAAGTTGACTGTGATACCTCGGAGAGGGAATTGCACAGCTGCTTGCGCTTCTCGACAGTGAGAGACAAGGTCAGAGTGTTGGCAGAGAGCTGGACGTCTAGCCCCAGTAGACGAACATCCGAGGAGGGAGGTGCCTTCTTGGATTCCTTCTCTTTGAATCCTAGCAGCTCATTGAGCACGGTCCAGCATTCGTATGCTGTGGCAGCCGAGGTGGCTGGCT